CGTTCAGAGATCTCTGCCTTTCGTTTTCTTACTTTCCGACTTACAAAAATTGCCAAGTTTCCTCTCTGTTCCCACAAACACTGGAATACTTCTTGACAAATCTGAGCTTCCTGTGCTATTTCCAGTTTTGCTTTCTGGGTTGGTTTTTTATTTTTTGGAAAGCCACAAAGAAGGAAGGTCGTATGACAAAATCTAGGAAGTCGGTGCTGTGTGGCAGTAAAGATTTTGGGCCAGCCAAGGCCTTGTACGAACCAGTAACCCCACCGCAACTGGTGGAAGGCAGCAGTGGGATGCTTAGGGAAAAAGTTAACTAAGTTAAAACTCCAGCACTGACTCCTTCTTTCCAGTCCTTCTCCAGGGACAGCAAACCAAAGCACTACGTTGCCTCATAATGCTGTGAATGAACAAGGGAGAAAAGGCGATCGAACGTGATGGTGTCAGGGTGTTCCAAACAAGCCCCGAGGGCAGATCTTAAGACTGATGCATTACAGGGTTGAAGGGAAGGAGAAGGAAGCACTTACAGCCACGAAGTGCACAGTGCAGCCGGTGACGCGGACTCCAGCTTGTAACACCAGTTTGTGGGCATTTGCTCCCTTGAAAGAAGGCAGTAGAGACGGGTGGATGTTCAGTATTTTTCCTGGAAAATGACAAGTGAGGTCATTGTCTTTTAGCATCCAGCCTTACCAGCATGTTCAAAGCACCTTACCCAACGGAGGAACCAAGTCCACTTGTGAAAAAGACTCTTCACGACTCCTGCGCACGCTGTGGTTTTGATGCTGACAGAAAACCAGCCCCAAGCATTTCGGAATGCCTTGCTATTCCAGGAGAATCAAAGGCAGCAATCAGTTACAACTAATTGCATGGCTACAGCCTATTTCCCTGGTGACTAACAATTAATTTTTTTGACGTAGCTGTCCTTCCCCTCAGCTTCTTCTTCTCTTCTTTGACCACGAGCACAACTAATTGCACGGCTACAGCCTATTTCCCTGATGACTAACAATTTTTTTGACGTAGCTGTCCTTCCCCTCAGCTTCTTCTTCTCTTCTTTGACCACGAGCACAACCCTCTTGCTTACAAACCCGGCACCCGGAAGAAACTCGGTGCAGTTTCAAACGCCCTAACAAACCCGCCCCGTGACAAGGCACAAAATTCGTTAGCCTGAACTTTTCCTCCACACCTGTTTTGGCTTAATAAAAGACACCAGCTGCTCAGAGAGGAGCCCGTCTCTCTGCCCTTCCGAAAAGCACCCGTCTGCCACTGCTACTTTCCACCACGAAACTTGGCGGGGGGAGGAGGGGGATCCTGAAATCGATGATGTAACCTCTACTGCTCAGCCAAGAGCAGTAAGGTTGTAACCCTGGGAAGCCTGTACCTTAAAAGAGAAAGCCTACGCCTGAGTTCCTCCCGAGCTCTGAAGTACGGGAGAGCGGTTGCCCGCGACCTCAGGGTCTCACTGCTACAGCAACTCGGTGGTCAAACAGCGAGGAAACCTCCTCTCTTCTGACAGGCTTCCCCCCTCTGCTCCTCACATCTCTGTGACAACCCCTCCTGCCCATTCGGGACCAGAGGGGAGTCAAAAGGTGCTTGACAGCCCCGGATCTTCTCTTAGACTCTGTACAGACCCTCACAGAGCAAAAAAAAAAAATGGCCATCGATGCTATTTATACCCCAGAATGCTACACCGGCGCCATCCCTGCATGCCTCCTGTTCAGGAAGACCGGACGCCACCAGGATTCACTGAACACCACCTAAATGCCAGGCAGCGAGACTGAGCCGACACATGCCGGCGGAGGCAGCAGCGTACCGAAATAGAGGCTTACGCTTTTGTACCGTGAAGCAAAGGCCGTTGCTGGCAGCAGGGTACGAAACCCGCGCTCTCGCGGCAGCAACTCCCGCAGATACCGACCCGTGCGACTTCCAGGGGCAAACGTATGGACTGATCGTTGGCAATATCTCAAGTGTGTTTTGTTTCTCAAAATCACCCCTTTCTCAAGCACCAGCATCTCCCTGATTGCTGCTTTGGCAAAAAAAGCGTCGGGGGCGGTGAGCTGAAAACAACACCCCCCGGCACTTCCGAGTTTCCCCAGTGTCTCACTGCAGTGCAGCCAGAAACTGCTACAAAGGAAAGTGCCTTTCTGTCTGCTTGGGTTTGGTTTGGTTTTCAATCTGTCCTTTACATCGACGTTCAAAATTAACATTTCAGGGCCGTAAAACGAGACAGTTTCAGAACTAACTTCACCCTGTATGTCCTTGTGAGTACAGGAGAAAGGAAAGGTTACAGCTTTTAAGAGAGCAGCAACAAGATCTGATGACTCTTGGACATTTTAGGCCGGTCAGTGCATGACGGGGTTGGAGTTTTACAGCCGGCTCCAGTGAGCTGGCACCGATCCCTGAACGGAACATTTGAGCACACACCTGACGGATACTCAGGGCTCAGGCAGGTGTCTGTTTCCAAGCTCAAATCAGCACTGGATGTTTAAAAACATGAATTAACCAGTGCAGCCAGCCGGTACTGAAGAGTGTCTTTTGCTCTCAGGCCAGCAATCTGTGTAACACAAGTCACGCAGGTGGCAGGGCCAGCACGCACGCTGGAAGTGCTCTGTCCCTAAATCAGAGGAGACTAAACTCATCCTTTATTCGCACAAGATCTCTGCACTGGAGAAAGTTCTTCTCCATCCTCTACGAGATGCTCGGAACATCCCTCTTGTAGTGGGGGATTCCTCTCTCCTAAACACAGCCGTCTACAGCACCAGACGTTTTACATCTCCATCTTCTGGACTCTGTAACGCGTGGGGAGAAACAAAACCAATCCATCTGACTTACATCCACTGGCAGCTGCAGCGTGAAATTAATTGCCTCCTCGGCAAACGCCTTTTTTGCTCCACTGATTTCAAAGGGAGGTTTGAGAAGTCGTTCGGGTGTGAAAGGTCGGTGCCACGGACACGCCCAGGGTGACACAAAAGTCGCCATGTGAACAATAAAGGCAGCCCAGAAAGTCTCTAACTGCTGTGGGCAGGAATGAGTGTAAGTAACCCTGACTGAACCCAAAGCAGCGCAAACAGGGAGAAGAGCAGGTGCCCCTGGGTGATTCAGGTCTCCCCAGAAGAAGCAGAAGAGGAATGTAACAACCACTGAAGTAGGCAGAGGTGTTATCAGCCTCTAACAAACACCTGGAGAAAGGGTAAAGGATGACGAGAATGGAGATGCTGTGAATGCCTTGGACAAACAAGAGCTGAATCTTGTCTGTGAAACATGCCACCCTCGGATTCAGACAGCTCCTGGGATGTCTGACCAGAAGACTGGCAAGATCTTGTTAACAGGAACTGCATATGGCTGCCTAATTTTGCAGTTTTATACGCAGCAAAAGCAGCTTATCTGTTAGAGGAAGGAATTCTCAGTGAGGGATGCTCACTTCTCCCCAGCCAACACTTACTGCTTATCATAGAATCACAGAATG